GGGTTAGGCAGTCATCAGTCTAAGTCCCAGTTTTGCCACTAAATAGCTTGGAAAAAAATTCATCTCTCTAAGCTTAGGTTTCCTTAACAGTAAAATGAAGATGGTTAGATGATTCTAACACCCGTTTATTGAATTGGGTAGTGGAAAAGTTGTACAGTCTCCAACTCACAACAGTTCACTTTAGGATTTTTCTATTTTATGATGATACAAAAGCATTGTATGCTCCTTTGTTTATGATGGGATTATCCCATAAGTTGGAGAGCCTCTGTACTTGAACAAACCCTCACCTAAATGCAGATAGGAAATTAAAAATATTCGACAACCACAGCCGTTGTGGCCCAAACAGAATTGCTGGACCAGAAGGTAGCCAAGGAGCTGCAGGTAGGAATGGGTGGGCGGTCAGCTGGGCCTTTCTCCCAACTGGAAGGAAAAATAGTCACATTTCAACAACCTGCCTTCTGAGCTACAGCTGGCACAGCCTTACTCTGAGCTCCTGCTGAACACCAGTTTTGCTTCAGTGCACACAAGCTGCCTCCTTACTCACTCCCGTCTTTCTCTAGGGGACCCACACTTCCCATGCTCAATGCTGAGAAACTAAACTTAAACATGCCCACTCAAAGCAGCTCAGTACATTTCATTTGGGATAAATAATCAGTCTTTGGGATTTGCACTCCCACCCCATGTTCACTTACACCAGCGAGTGTGCAGGAATGGGTGTGGGCTTATTTAGCAGTTCCTGCTGGCCTCTGGAGCAATCAACCTCTGCCCTTACAGCAGTCCCCGTGAAGTGTCTGTGCTTAGAGTAGCTCTTGGTGATGGTGCCAGGCAGCATCAACTACATAACTTCCAGTGCAAAATGAAAACGAAGTGCCCTTGGAGATCATTAAGAATTTCAAGACAGCAACAACAGAGCATTAAGCCAAGCACAGGGGCCCTTCTAAGTACGGGGCTCTGTGTGACTGCACAGTTTGCATGCCCATGAAGCCAGCCCTGATTCCAAAAGGCCTTGAGTTATTTGCCCCCAGCCTCCAATATGGCCGGCCTGTCTCATTGCAAGCTGCAACAGCTCTCCGGAAGGCACATTATTAACTCATTCCTCTGCTATCTGCTCTGCCCCCATCTATCCCAAGTCACGCAGAAACTTCTAAAACACCCGTTTGCCATGAACTGCTCCCCCAAGGAGCTGCAGGAGCGGCATCTTCTCAAGTTCGTTCTCCCTCCAGCACCGCCAGTATGTTCTACCCCTGTCCCCCGCACCCCCAATCACAGCCACCCAGGCCCACGTGGGACTGCTATGTGGCAGTCTCCTGCCCGCGCAGTTCCAAACAGGAAGCGCACTCGCTCTGCTTTCTGACCCTTCCTCAGGATTCCAATCTTCCTACCACAACTGTTCCACTCCATCCCACATCTGCAACTGCCCTCCTGCCCTGCTTAGGGCCAGGTCAGGAAACATTCCAAGTCCTCCAAATCTCTTTCCTGTCATCTTTTAAGTCATAGTCTGCCCTTTCCAGAAGTGTAGGGCATTTTTCTCTAATTGGGAATCTAATTGGAAGGAAAAGCCCTCATATCAATGCTCCTATTTGTAAATATTGCCCTTGATATGTAAAGAAAGCTTTGGGGGAAAACAAACAAAACAAAAAATGAGAAACAAAATTCATTTTTTCTCTCTCTCAAAGCTAGGTTTCTTTAAAAACTATTATCTCACAATGGGATTTTTATTTTTAATTAATTTTTTATCTCAAAGCTGAACAATGGCTTCTTTGTTCCAGTGGTATCCACCCTTCCCCCAAAGCAATCACTACTAAGGAACAAGACAAGTACTTTGCATAAAGAAATCAAATAATGCATGCAAAATACTTAGCAGGTGCATGGCAATAATAAGTGTTAAATAAATGATAGTTATCAATTATCATCATCTATATTACTATTAATATACTCTATGTTATTAGGAAGAAACTATTCCATTTCTTTCTCCCCTTACCTAAATCCAGATAGAATTATGTGTGTAAATTCTTTGAACTTTGAAAAATATATACCCTAAAGGAAGGCAATGTATTTTTGTCAGGTAAATTACTTTGCATAGTAGGTTCAGAAAATAAATTACCAACATAAGCAAAAAGAATTCTTTTATTCCTCAGAACTTCACATATATTGGATTATATTGGTTAATTAGGTTGCTGATATTCCACCATTTTTTGATCTATAAAAGCGGCAATTTCATATGGTTCAATCTACAAGTAGGATGGTCTAGTTGACTTTTAATCATTTTTATTAGGTCTCCTCCATTCATAGACTGAGAGCTAGAGAAGAAGTTGCTATGGTAACCCTAAGAATCAAACAGGATCACAGAATGAGAACTGGGAGAAAGCTAGTCCAGACTCATCAATTTGCAAATGAGGACTTAAGGCCCAGAGAGGTGAAGTGAGTTTCCCAAAATATCACAGCCAATTAGTGGCAATACTGAGCTCTGTCTGCCCCACGCTCTTCCACCACACCAGGCTGCCTGCCTGCCTTCTTTACGTCTGTCAAAATATGTTAAGAACATCCCAACTTCACTGAGAAATCAGAGCTCTGAAGATGATAATTAAGGCAAATATCAAAGGTGAGAAAAAATCTGGGATAGAAGCATGTTTTTTCAAAGACTTCTGATCAATGATAATTAAACTTTTAAAAGGGAGAAATGTCAAAATGAAGGTGTTTGCTTTTTAGACATTATAATTTGGAGATTCTCCTGAATAAACTATTTTTATCTCCCTTCATATGACCCCACTCTGAGTTTGAGACATGTATTTTTCAGTGTTTCTAGAGCTAACAGCTTCTGGTTTGTGCTTTATTGTTATTGTCTCAAAATTATCTTCAAACCTCAACTTATTTGCAAGTATAATTCATAATTGTCTTTAAAATATTCAGATATGTCAAACAAGACAAAAGGAAATATTTAAAATAGCTCTAACCTTAGTTCTTTGCACCCATTATAGTTTGCAAAGGAGAAAACATCACCAACTTTAATCTCCCAATTTCAGTAATGAATACAACATATTAATGTGTGATATCATCCCCAGCAGCTGTTACTGTGACTTGTTATTGTTGCACAGCTATGGCTAAAGTTCTGTTAGGACTTTACCATAGGCACTATACTGGCATCTTTGCAAAGTTAATTCACTTAACCTAGACCAATCCTGCAAGAGATGTATTGATAATCCTAATATGCAGATGAGGAAGTTTAAAATGGTTCCATAATTTGCCAAGGTCACATAATGAGTGGCAGCCAGCTGCCAAAGGGGAGAAAGTAGAATTATTATAAATCCTACCCTCCATACTGCCCCATGACCTAGCAGACATCTGCTCCTCGCACTCCCCTATGTCCCAGCTGCAACAGTGGTGGACAAACCATTCACAAGTCCCAGATTTTACATGACAAACTCTCTTTAAAATATCCCACCCTGTTTTCAGAAGATGAGTCATATGTCCCATGAAGAGTTCAAAAGAAAGACCACTGCAGCAGCAGCAATGCTGAATCCAATGCTGAATCCATTGCCAAATCTGTAATTTACACCTCCCCCATTATTATCTTCTATAGTGATCTTTTAAACATTCCTTGATACTCTTCCCCCAAAAAAGTGGAGCCGAGTTCCCCTTCCCCTGAGGCTGGGCTGTGTTCAGTGAATGAACAGAATGTGGCAGAACTGAGAGTGTGTGACTTCTCAGACTAGGTCATAAAAGGAACTGTGGCTCCTCCTTGCTCTCTCATGGATTTCTCAATGGAGGGAAGCCAGCTGCCATATTGGAAAGAATTTGAGTAGCTGAGGAACTGAGCAACTGGAACTGAGGCCTTTTGCCATCCTGGAAGAGATTCCATCAGCCACAGTCAGCCTTCAGATGACTGTAGCCCCCACTGACATTCTTAACTGCAGCCTCATGAAAGTCCCTAATCTAGAACCACCCTACTAAGCTACTCCTAAATTTCTGAACTTCAAAAATATTTCAGATAATAAATATTAAAAATATTTATGATAACACATATTTATTTAAAATATTTAAGATATTTTAAGATAAATAAGTATTTATTAAAGATATTTAAGATAATAAATATTTGCTGTTTTAAGCTATGAAGTTTTGGGATAATTTTATATGAAGCAATAGATAATTAATACATCTTTATTCCTAAATTATGCCCTTTCTTATAATAAAACAAAAAAGCTGCACTATCCATGGCTGCACTATCCATGGCTGCCATATCAATAAGTCAAATATTCTCCTTGGTATAGGTGTACTTAGTAAATACCCAGAATCCAGGATGCCTAAAAGATGCTCTCTTGAAGACCTTACCCCTGCTAAAAAAAAATGTAAGGTTATTCTTTGATCAGCCATATAATGCCTCATACTATGTGGGGTATGCGAGAGAAGGGTGACAATCAGAGCAAAGTTGTTACCTGTAAGACCAGAGTACTGTCTCTATTTTTTTAGACAGGCTCTCGCTCTGTCACCCAGGCTGGAGTACAGTGGCATCATCATAGCTCACTGCAGCCTAGAACCCCTGTCTCAGCCTCCCAAGTAGCTGGGGCTACAGGTACACGCTATAGCACCCAACTATTTTTTTATTTTTTTGTAGCAACAGGGTCTCACTGTTGACAAGCAAAATGTCAACACACTTCTGACATCATGACCCTAAATGCATCAAGGCTCTTATCAATCAAAAACACTTTTTCTTCTTTCAAGCATTAGTCACAGGGATATTCAACATAGACTTCTAAAGAACTAAGAAGACGGGAAGTGGTGATCAGCTTCTTCCCATTGCTCCTCAGACACTAAGGAGAGCATTCCTTTCATAAAGATAATGCATTCTATAGTAATGTCCATTCATCACGTCCACCACAGAGGCTGCAAAACAGCTCATTTGTGATTTCTTAATGGGGCCCATCCTGGAAACAGTGTCTCCTTCCCTGACCCAAACCACAGCCAGTTGTCAAGCTCTGGAGAATTCAAAGCGTAATGCTTACCCAGCCCTTTGCAGACCCCAGTCTTGTCTTTAGAGTGCTTTCTTTTCCCTCGTTGCTCCAGGAATGGAAGGCCTCCTAATGTTTCAAAACACAGCTTCTTGTTGATGAAGAGGAAGAGGACAGCCAGAAGAACAATGAAGACCCCAACAGCAGACAAGAAGCCAATGGCTTCAGGAGTGACTGGCAAGAAGACACAAAAGAAAAGATAACATCACTATTACGGTTATCCAAGTTTTGCTTCTAACAAATTATCAAGGCTATTCAGAATCCTTACTTTTATTAATTAGAAATGATAAATCTGTAACTCCTGACTCTGGCTGACATCCCCAAAACAATGTAGAGGGAAAAGGAAAACGGCTGTTGCCAAGTACATCCTACCAGGCTGATTCTTTAGATGACAGATCTTTGCATGTATAGTTTCTTCTACCTAGAGTACAATTTACTTTGCTCTTATCCTCAGCTTAGTATTCAACTTCAAACACACAAACTATAAGAGAGAGATTCATCAAATGGGTTGAGCTGGAAATGGTTGACCAGCATTATAAAAGCAAGTCTCTTAAAAACACAGCTGCCTAAAGCTTACAAAATAATCACTTGGGACAAACTTCCAGATGGATACTTCTATCAATATTTGCAATTAGAAAAAAGTCATTTCTTAGATACATTTTTACAAATCCAACTATGTAATATGTTGATGGCTGTCAATGGCAATAAGAAAATTACTAATCCATGTCATACATACAAGAAATTATAGTTTTTGACTACTAATATTTTAGAATTTTAGAAAATTAAATTCCAGTTCCTTCTTCTCATCATCATATCATCATCACCATCATAAAACCCTGAGCTTTAAGTGACCCTGGCTAAGTACTACTCAATATACCTTGAGGAGTCTCTGCCACTGAGTTCAGCTATGAGCACATATAACAGGAAGACCAGAGCTATTGGAGGGTCCAGGGAAGACTCCTCTAAGGAAATGACATTTGAGCCAAGATAACATTCAGTAAAGAAACCCAGAAATTAATTTGTACAAAAGGGCCAATTACAGAGCAAGTGTCAATAAAAATGATTCAATGGAGTTGGATATATGTGAAAGCTTATGAAAATGAATCTTCTAAAAGCAGATTTAATCCTTGAGCAGGTTTAATATATGATTTAATAATGCAAAGGCTTAATAATATTAAGGGATAATATTCACCTCCCTCTACTATCCAGCCAAATAGAGAAAGGATAAATTGAACCAATCCCACCCCTGTGAAAAGACAAAGAAATAAATGATACTGCCTCACTTAATCAACCTAGTGGTAAGCCGGTGTAAGTACAAACAAAACAAAACAAAAAAATAACAGGCAAGATAATAGTTTCAGAGTCTGCAAAATGATAACAGTGCTTGCTATCAAAGCAAAAGCCTACCATGACAAATGAAGTACGCACACATTAATTACGCCCTCTCCCCTCAGATGTAGTAGGCAGTAGTAGTAGTTTGAGGCACGGGTTCAGCAGTCATATTGCTTGGGTTGAAATCACACTTTTCTACTTACTATGTGGCCCTCGGCAAATTATTTAACCTCTCTGTGCTTCAGCTTCCTAAACTATAAAAGGTGAAAATAAATACAGCTACATCCAAGATTAAACAAGGTAATATATAGAAAGTAATCTATGTAGCACTTGGCACACAGAGAGTCCTTAAACAGGAGTAACCATTTTTCTCAGCATCACCATCACTACAGAGCTATTAAAATATCCAGAAGCAGTCAAATGTGGGATGAAAATGCTGCTTTGTACTCGCCTGTGCTCTGGAGTCCATCCCTCTCCCCTTTCTAGCTTTTGACCCTTCACTCTTGTATTTTCAACTACTTCCCTCAGTAGATACAGTGTCTTTCTCACCTGTGTTAAAAATGCATCCATGTCTCTTACCCTTTAAAATCCCCTCCTCAGCACCACGCTTCTCAATCACATCCCTCTGTCTTCTTCCCTTCACAACCAACCACCTGCAAAGTATCTCCTATACTCATATTCACTTTCTTACCTCCCTCCGAAGCCAGTGGTATCCTTTCACCCAGATTCCCACTGACCTTCCTGTCCCTCAGCCCTTAAATATACATACAGAACTATTATGTTCCTATAATAATAAAAAATTTTAAAAAAGAATTGCCTCACAAGGGTTTTGCACACTAACTAACCTGTTTATAAGTGTTTAAAATTCCAAATAAAACTCATAAATTCCACTCCTAAGGATGTATCCAAGAGACTTGAAAATACAGATCCATCTCAGAGATACTGTCGGTTCAGTTCCAGACTAATAAAGAATACATTGCAATAAAGTGAGTTACACAAATTATTTGGCTTCCCAGTGCATATAAGAGTTATATTATAGTCTATTAAGTGTACAATAGCATTATGTCTTTTAAAAGTATGTAACTTGACTAAAAATAGTTTATTGCTAAAAAGTGCTAATAATCAGTTGAGCCTCCACCAAGTCATACTCTTTGCTGGTGGAGGGTCTGCCTAGATGTGGATGGCTATTGAATGATTAGGGTGGTGGTTGCTGCAAGTTGAGGTGACTCTGGCAATTTCTTAAAATGAGACAACAATGAAGTGTTCTGCATTGATCACCTCTTCCTTTCACAGAAGATTTTTCTCTGTAGCACATGACACTGTTTTGAAAGCATTTAACCCACAAAATTGCAGTTGGTCCTCTCAACCCTGCCACTGCATTATGAACTAAGTTTATGTAATATGCTAAATCCTTAGTTGTCATTTCAACAGTAATGATAGCATCTTCACCAGGAGTAGATTCCAACTCAAGAAACTACTTTCTTTGCTCATCCATAAGAAGCAACCCCTCATCTGTTCAAGTTTTATCAATCAGATTGCTGCAATTCAGTCACATCTTCAGACTCCACTTCTAATTCTAGTCCTGTTGCTATTTCCACCACTTTTGCAGTTACTTTGTCCACTGAAGTCCTGACCCCTCAAAGTCATCCACGACAGTTGGAATCAACTTCTTCCAAACTCCTGTTAATGTTATTATTTTGACCCTTCCCGCGAATCATGGGCATTCTGAATGGCATCTAGAAAGCTGAACCCTTTCCAGAGGTTTTTTATTTGCTTTGCCCAGATCTGTCAGTGGAATCACTGCCTCTGGCAACAGTAGCCTTACAAATATAGTTCTTAAATAATAAGACTTGAAAATTGAAATTACTCCTTGATCTATGGGCTATATCATGGATGTTATGTTAGCAGGCATGAAAACAACATTCATCTGCTTGTGTATTTCCATCAGAATTATTGGGTGACCAGGTACATTGTCAATAAGCAGTAATATTTCAAAAGGAATCTTTTTTTCTGAGCAGTAGGTCTCAACAGTGGGCTTAAAATATTCAGTAAACCATGCTGTGAACAGATGTGCTGTCATCCAGGCTTTGTTATTCCATTTATAGAGCACACAGAGTAGACTTGCATAATTCTTAAAGGTCCTAGGATTTTCAGAATGGTAAATGAGCACTGGCTTCAACTTCAAGTCACCAGCTGCATTATCCCCTAATAAGAGAATCAGCCTACTTTTTGAAGCTTTGAAGTCAAACACTGACTTCTCCTCTTTAGCTATGAAAGTCTTAGTTGGCATCATCTTCCAACAGAAGGCTGTTTGTCTACACTGAAAACGTGTTGTTTAGTGTAGTCACCTTCATCAGTTATCTTAGATCATCTGTAGAACTTGCTGCAGCTTCTCCATGAACACTTGCTGTTTCACCTTGCCATGTCATGGAGATGGTTTCTTTCCTTAAGCCCCAGGAAACAACATCTATCTCAAGCTTTTCTTCTGGAGCTTTCTGATCCTTCTCAGCCTTCATAGAATTGAAGAGAGTTAGGACCCTGCTCTAGATTTGGCTTTGGCTTAATTGTTATGGCTGGTGTGATCTTCTATCCAGACCACTCATTTTCTCCATATCAGCATAAGGTTGTTTTGTTTTCTTATCATTTGTGTGTTTACCAAAGCAGTACTTCTATTTTCTTTCAAGAACTTTTCCTTTGCATTCATAACTTGGCTAATTCATAAAGCTACAAGATGTAAAATCAACATATAGAAATGAATTGTGGTTTTGTACATTAACAACGACCTACTTAAAAGGATAATTAAAAAACAATTCCATTTATGATAGCATTAAAAAAGATAAAATACTTAGGAATAAAATTATTCAAGGAGGTGAAAGACACACACTGAAAACTACAAAACATTTGTGAAAGAAATTTTAAAAGATACAAATGGAAAGACATTCCATTATCATAGATTGTAGTAATTAATATTTTAAAATCTCTATGGCATATTTTATAGAAATAGGGAAAAAAATGCTGAAACTCATTGAAACCACAAAAGACTCTCAATAACCAAAGCAATTTTAAGTAAGACAAAGCTAGAGATAGCCACTCCTTGGTATCAAAACAGTTACAAAACTGCTGTAATCAAAACAGTATGGTACTGCATAAAAACAGACATATAGGCCAATGCAACAGAATAGAGGGCCCAGAAATAAACAGGTACAAATACAGTCAACTGATCTTTGATATGGTGCCAAGAATATATAATGGGGAAAAGATAGTCTCTTCCACAAATGGTGCTAGGAAAACTGGATATCCACATGCAAAAGAATGAAATTAGACCCTTATCTCACACTATATACAAAAATCAACTCAATTAATTAACAACTTAAACACGAAATTGAAACAATAAAACTTTTAGGGGAAAACATAGTAAAAGACTTTATAGACATTCGACTAGGCAAATGAATTTTTGGATATGACATCAAAAGCACAAGCAACAAAAGCAAAAGTAAACAAATAGGAGTACATAAAACTAAAAAGCTCCCACACAATACAAGATACAATTAACAAAATGAAGAAGTAACCTATGGGATAGGAGAAAATATCTACAGACCATATCTGATAATGGGTTAATATTCAAAATATATAAGGAACTCCTACAACTCAATAGCAAAAACACATAACCCAATTTAAAAATGGGCAAAGAACCTAAATAGGCATTTCTCCAAAGATGACATACAAATGGCCAACACGTATACG